AAGTTCTCATGTTGTTTCCTACTTAAATCCCTCCAAGGACTCTCCTTTGTTTATAGGATCCCAAGTTTTTAGCTTTAGCATGGCATACATGGTGTTCCATCAATCTTTCCTCTTTTCCTTCCTACCTTCAACTTTATGTTGTAATCTAGAAAGATCAGCAAACCTTTTTTTGTAAAGGGCCAGATGGTGAATATTGAAGCTTTAATGGTCATATGCTCTCTGTAATAACTACTTAAATCTGTGGTTGGAAAGCAACGGTATGAAATATGCAAATGAATCGGTATGCCAATAAAATATTCCTTATAGTATAGGTTGCAGATCCTATTTGGCTCACTGTCCAGAGTTTGCTACCTCTGCTCTAGATTACTGAAGCATTTGATATTTCTTGCCTATAGTAATTATACAATAAGTTTGATTGCTAATGAAATGTATAGACATTTTTTAATTTAATAAATCTTTATTGTTCAGATTAATACAATTGTTTCTGCTTTTCCCCCCAATAGGTCCCTTCCACCTGGTGACTACCCCACTCTCTGCCCTTACCTCCCCATGACTGTCCTCATCCATAGGTGTATGATTTTTGTCCAGTCTCTTCCTAAAATCCCCATACCCCTTTTACCCTGAGAATTATCAGTCCACTCTCTTTCTATGCCTCTGATTCTATTATATTCACCAGTTTATTCTATTCCTCAGATTTTTAATTCACTTGATTTTCAGGTTCACTTGTTGATAGATATGTATTTGATGTTCATAATTTTTATCTATACCTTTTTCTTCTTCCTCTTCTTAAAGAATACCTTTCAGCATATCATATACTACTAGTTTGGTGGTGATGAACTCCTTTAGCTTTTTCTTATCTGTGAAGCTCTTTATCTGACCTTCAATTTTGAATGATAGCTTTGCTGGATAGAGTAATCTTGGTTGTAGGTTCTTGCTATTCATCACTTTGAATATTTCTTGCCACTCCCATCTGGCCTGCATGGTTTCTGTTGAGAAATCAGCCAACAGTCGCATGGGTGCCACCTTGTAGGTAACCAACTGTTTTTTTCTTGCTGCTTTTAATATTGTTTTTGCCTTTTGCTCTTGGCATCTTACTTATGATGTGCCTCAGTGAGGTCCTCTTTGGATTCCTTTTGTTTGGGGTTCTGTGCGCTTCCTGCGATCCTCTAGTCTGCTGTTAGATCTCTGTATATTTTTTATTTCATTCAGTGTATGCTTAATTTCTAGTTAGTCCTTTTTCATATCCTCAAGAGTCTTGCTAAATTCATCGGCCTTTTCTAGGAAAGTCTTGAAAAACCTTATAACCATGGTTTTGAATTCTATATCCAGTCTTTTGTTTTCCTCCATTTCTTTCATTTGTGTTGTTTCTTTGTCTCTGCATTTTTTACTGCTTCTATGAGTTGGTAGGGTAGCTGTGTGGGTAGGTGTCCTATATGGCCAAGTGGGTCGGCCTCCCCAGTTACCTGAGGTGGACACTCCGTTGCACCTCTTTGAGGACTGTGTGTACAGCCTTGTTGTAGTTAAGTCTTGAATGTTGTTGGTATCACTGGGAGGAATTGACCTCCAGGCCAGTTGGCTGTGAGGATCAGCTGTGTCTACGCCAGGAGAACTTCTGTGCTGAAGACAGCCTTTATGGGACCAGACTTGCAAAACTGCAAAAGCCTCTGATCAGCTTGCATGGGGCAGAGTCTCAGGGCTGAGCAGACAGTTTTGGCTTCCCATCAGCCCTTCCCTATGAGGCCCCTGGGTCTCAGTGTTCCTCGGTATTCACTGCAAGCACCTCTGAGAGAAAGCTGCCCTCAGGTTTTGCCCATTGCCAGGCAGTCCAGTTTCTTCCCCAATGAAACTGGATTTCCAGATTCTCACCTGAAATGAGTTCAGAGCGGTAGGGAGCTTCTGGTTCCCTCCAGCCAACAGTGCAGTCAGCAGTCAGTCCTCTCTTCGTGCACTTGTGCACATGCCTCCAAACCTCTGCCTTTAGCAGCTCCACTGAGTTTTCAGCTGACAGTCCAGATTTCCCCTGTAAGAGCATAGGTCTCTAGGGGCTCACCCGGAACTGGGGTTCAGTGCAGTTGGGAGCTTCTTTCTCTCTCCCACCAGAGAAAGCACACCAGGCACTCAGCCATCCTTCCTCTCTGCGTGCATGTCTCCATACCCCAGCCCTTTGCTGCTCCTCTGATACTCCATGAGCATTTCTCTTTCCTTCTAGTTTTAGAATTTCCACTAAGCCAGCTTTCCTGTGGTTCTGCATGATGCCCACTCTGTCTTTTAGTTGTAGTTTTGAAATTATTGTGTGAGGCAGCAGTTAAGGTGCTTATCTATGCCGCCATCTTGGTTTCTTTCTGTACTGACTTTTTCTTGTGTTTTTCAACTATCTGAGGTTTTATTTCTAAGAAAGTAAATATTTATGTATTATATAACCTACATAAATGCTGTTTGGTGTCTCCAACAGTTTTTAAGAGTGTACAAGGATTGTAAGGTAAAAAAAATTGATAACTGCTAATGTATTTCAATTGTTTCATGTTATACAAGAGAAGTAAAGCACAGAGAGGTGGTTGGCTGGTGGCAGTATGCATTACCTACACTAATGAAAGAGAAATATGCAAATTGATGTACCTCCACGACTCTACCAGCCAATCAGGAGTGAGTATGCAAATTAACACACCAAAGATGATGAGTTAATTTGCTTACACAGGCACAGAGCAGCCAGCGGGGCAGGCTGCCAGCTATGAGGGGAAGGGCGAGGGGTGGAGGGAGCTATAGGAGCAGCACTCTGGCTGGAGTGGAGAAGACTGAAGGCTCCGGCCAGAGTGAGGATGGAAGGCGGTGGACAGAGTGAAGGCCTGGGTCCTGGTGCCGGAGGAAACCGGTGCTGGCAACCAGGGGAAGGAAGGCCTATCGCACGAATCTTCGTGCAATGGGCCTCTAGTAGTATGTAAAATACTAGAGGCCTGTTGCATGGAATTTGTGCATGGTGGGGGTTGGAGGCTTCCTCAGTTCACACTCTCTCCATTCTGGGACCCCTTGGGGGATGTCCAACTGCTGGTTCAACACATTATGCATAGGAACTTGGCCTTGGCAACATGGTGGTACCTAACAGCATTCAATGTTTTCAGTAATGTCTGATAGTTTTTCTCAGTTCAATGTCAAACCAAATAGATCAATCAACAATGCTTCTGACATCCTTCAGTAACTGTACAAAGCTCTTCAAAGAAGACTTTTGTGCCCCTCCCCAAAGACACCTGTAAAGAAATATTAGCATAAATAAGAATGCAAAATTAGATCAATCTTATAGTTACAATAGAAATAAAAGGCTGGGGGTGGGTGGGAATCGCATTAATCTAAAAAATGTGACCAAAATTGAAACTATAGACCCCTCCCAGCAAAGTCAGAAAATTGTCAAAAGAGAATTATGACAATTAAAGCAAAGCTATTTCTTAATTCATTTTCCAAAAGGATATGTACATCTTTCCAGAAAGACAACAGTTATAGCAATTTACCAGTTGACTTAGACAAAGTCCTATTTTTTAACTACATGGTATCAATTTAAGTGATATATCATTAATCCTGACATGACTGCCATGTTAGGTTACATCACTTCATAAGAAATACGGGGCCTTACATTAGTATGTTAAATGGAGTTGCAGTTTAAAAATCCCGTTTTTAAGGGATAAAAGCCAAAATGACCTATACATTTCTTTCCAGCATTTACACAATATTCCAGTCATGGCAATTACCACAAAGTGACTGGGATTTGTGTGAGACACGCTTGCTGCCTGCTCTCTACTCCTTTCTATCCACATATCTCTCACTTCAGCCCATCCTCCTACCCAGGCAGGTGGTCAGTCTTTGGGGACCCACTTCAGTGACCCTCTGTACCTCAGGCTTCCTCTTGCCACCACTCCTAACGTATACTCCCTACTGTACAGGACTCCCACTTGGTTGCATCTCACCAGTTTTGAAAATATTAAATGAAGTGAGGTGACCATAAAATTCCATAAAACACATCAGTCACAGGCGGGTCCAGGCAGTTGAATGCTGGGATCCTGGGCACCGTCTCCACCTGCCCGATCCTGCCCCGTACCTCCTGCTGGTGCCCTGCCACTAAGGGACTCCCAGATGGACACATCCTCTGCAGGCCACGCCCCTCCCCACCTCTGGCACTAAACCTCAGCCCTCACCCCCGCTGATGGCCTGCAGTGAGGCTTTGCCCCCGCCCACCCACCCTAACCCTCCCCACTCCAAGCCCAGTCCAGTAGACACCTGGAAGCCATGGGCAAGTCACATGAAGTCTTAATCTGTCCCCATGCCGTAGGAACCACTGTGGCCCATACACCTCCTGACCCACCTCAACACAGACTCCGTTGGGTACTGCTTGCCTAGGGCCCCACAGTCTTTGGATGGACTGCTGGGAGAGGCGAGTGGCAGGGAGGCTGGGGCAAGTAGGGGGGTGCCTGGCGGGGGAGTCAGCAGTTCTGGGTGAAGGCGGACCATCGAGCACGCTCCCTGTCCCCCACCCCCGTGGGTGCCGCCATCTTGTGACAATGTGATGGTCAATTTGCATATTCCCTCTTTATTAGATAGGATAGTACAGTAGTATGTATTATATAATTGATAAACATTCCATATATATGAATACACACACACACACACACACACAAAACTATATAGTTTCAGAGTTGCTGCTGCTGCTTCTTAGGCTTATTTTACTCTTCTAGCATAAACACAAACTCAGAAATTTAGAACTAGAGGATTCTTAGTAAATCATCTGAGAACTATCATTACTAAAGTCTTCTTCAGTTCATTGCCTTTTCTACTTCACCAAGGCTATATGGTATATGTGGGCAAAATGCTCAGGGAAAGTGAATTTATTTTTATAAAAGTCTAATTAGGTAGCTAAACCCCCTAAAGATAAATATTGAGTCTTCTGCATCACTGCTTCTCCCCATTTATGTAGAAAATATAAAGTAATTAAGGTATTCATTTCATGGAGAACTCACCCTCATCATTACTACTAGAATGGATCTCAGGAGATGAGTCAGACTGGGATGATGAAAATTCTTCTTTCCATTTCTTCCGTTTCTTTGGTGGTGGCTCAGCCTTTACTTTTAGCTGTTTCCCTTTGGGTTTCGTGGAAGAGGCTTTTGTAGTTGTAGTTTTGGGTGGTGGAGGATCAGAAGTTTTACTGCTATTACTAGGCTTTGCCTGAACAGTTCTGTAATGTTATAAACAGACTTCATTAATACTCTAAAATCTTGTCAAATTAAACTAAATTAGACCAAAAGAAAAACCAAAACCAAAAGAGAGAAACTCTGTAGAAGAAACCTTTAACTGCCTCAACAATAACTCCAGAATAAAGTCCAAGTCTTATACCTCTCCAATGATGAACCTCCCAAATTCTCTTGAAATGCATTTTCTTTTTAAAATTTTTCTCTTATTTTATTTATTTTTAAATATAATAAATCTTCATTGTTCAGATTATTACAGATGTTCCCCTCCCATAGTTCCCCACCTCACCCCATGCCCTTACCCCCGCCACTGTCCTCATCCATAGGTGTAAGATTTTTGTCCCCTCTCTTCCCGCACCCCTCAAACCCCCTTCCCCTTGAGAACTGTCAGTCCACTCCCTTTCTATGTCCCTGATTCTATTATATTCACCAGTCCATTCTGTTCTTCAGATTTTTTTATTCACTTGATTTTTAGATTCACTTGTTGGTAGATATGTATTTGATGTCTTTTTGTTGTTCATAATTTTTACCTTTGCCTTTTTCTTCTTGTTCCTCTTCTTAAAGAATACCCGTCAGCATGAAATGCATTCTTTAACTACTAACATTCAATATTCAGTTTCTAGGGGACTATTAATTCAGTCCCTATTTCTCTCTCTTCACTACCCCCTCCCTTTATGAACTCATTTCCCCAAATATGAGGCTATATAGCAGATGAGAGTGGGCTTTGGGAAGTAATACATGATAAACCCTTCAAAGCCACATCTAGCTGTGAACATAAAAAACTCTCACATGTGGTGCAGGTTTTGATGTGGAGAGCCAACTGCATCTGTTCTGGAGCCCATTATGAAGATCTGCTATAGCCCAAGCCAGTTTGGTTCAGTGGACAGAGCAACAGCCTGTGGACTGAAGGGTCTCAGGTTCGATTGTGCTCAAGGACACATACCTAGGAGGGAGCTTGTAGGAGGCAGCCAATCAATGATTCTTTATCATCATTGATGCTTTTATCTCTCGCCCTCTCCCTTCCTCTCTGAAATCAATAAAAATATATTAAAAAGAAAATCTGCTATATGCTAGTGCTAGAGATTTGAATAGATCAAATTCCATTATAAAAATAAAGTGGGCTGTTTCCAATAAGTTGGAAATTTAATCAAACTAGACCTTCCTAGCAGTAGATTGAGAATAACTAGTATATCTCCTTTCCCATACAGACAACAGGGAATGTGGCTAAGTCAATTTTCTTATAGATTCATGCTGCCAACAACTCAGTTACATTAATATGATGTTAATTCTATTGTACATTTTCTTAGTAATATATAGGGCTTAAAGGTCTTTTTTTCAAAATGTATTTCATTTCAAATTTGACACACCATTATCTGTTTTCGGTCTGGGCAGGCCTGGGCAGGAGCAAAGCCTGCAAACGCGGGGAGCTGGGGCTCCCAGTATGTGAGTGGGGGCAGGTTGGGCTGAGGGACTCCCCCAATCCCAGTGCACAAATTTCGTGCACCGGGCCCCTAAGTAATAATAATAAAATCATAATATGCTAATTAGACTGGACATCCTCTGGACAACTTTCCAGATAAAGCGGGGGCTGCAAGTGAAGCCCAGTTTCCACTGTTGGCGGCCAGTGGGAAGCCTGGGTCCCAGAGGGAAGATAGTGCCAGCAGCTGGGGGAAGGAAGGCCTACTCTTGTATGAATTTTGTGCATTGGGCTTGTAGTCTCTCTCTATAAGAGGTTAATATCCCCTCAGGAGTTTTACTGGGAGAATGCGAGTTTGATTGCTATGACATGTGCTGACCATCAGGGGGTGGCACAGAATATGGAGAGCATCTGTCACACACTGTGACCTCTCACTGGCTACCTGGGGGCAGAGGTGACTGAGATGGAGGTGGGGTCAGAATGCAGGGTATCTGCCAAGCTTGCTCTCACTCCCTCTGCTATCCTCCCCTGGGACGCTCCTTGATTTTTAGGTGCTGGAGACCTGCAAGGAGCCTGCCTGGCACCCGTGCAGCATCTTCCAGGTGAGCTGGGCTGCAGCTGCTGGGACCACAAGGACCAGTTGGGTTCCCTGTTGGTTCACGCAGGAGCCAGTCTGCAAGGCCGACCAGGGGAGAGCGCACTTCCCATCGGGCTTCTGTGTGGCACTGCTGGGCAGCCCAGAGGCTCACACTATACCTTGGCCCACAGTGTCTGGCCACATTCACGCATCTCTGCATGGGGACTCAGGTGCCATGACTCAGGAGGAGTGGGGCATGTGGGGAGCTGCCCAGGTTCAGCTCAGGGCCCAGAGGTCAGCTGGGATCTGCCCTTTCACACCAGATGCTCAGCTTCGATTTCCGGCCAGGCCTAGGACTGTAACCATGCACAAATTTCATGCACCGGGCCTCTACTATTACATAAAAAAAAAAAAATACCTGCTAGTTTGTGAAGGCTTATTTCTTGGCTTTTTGGAACACACTCTGACATACTCCTTTTTGTTTGTGTTTTCAATGAACTTCACATATATCCTTTTGTATTTACTCTTTGCGTCTCCAAAATATCCAAGGTACTAAGGAAAAAAACAACACTTTGAATTATATAATTATACATTCTGTACATACAATATTACTTTGTCAGCTTGAATGTCACATAAACATCCTTAATGTTTTTCAAAATGCAACTCTGGACAGGCTAATTTCACTCTCAATAAAAATCATCGTAGGCTAATTCTTAACTGCAGGCTCATACATAGAAACAATTTCATTTGGTTAATTATTAGATGTTTACTTACTATTAAACAAGTACACATAAGTGCAAAAGAATAACCTCTGTAAATCTATTGATAAAGTGGGCTATCAACATTAGGAGACTCTGAGGCCATCTGAACCTCTTACCTTCCACCAACAAAAAGATTATGACTCACTTTATTGTGGTTTTCTGAAACTGAAGCTGCAATATCTCCAAGGTATGCCTGTATTCTGTTATTCAAATTTTATGCATTCCTATACAATAAAAGGCTAATATGCAAATTGACCAAACGGTGGAATGACCGGTCACTATTACGTGCTATGACCACAAGGGTGCAGATGCTCAATGCAGGAACTGCCCGCTGGTGGTCAATGCACTCCCACAGGGGGAAGCACAGCTCAGCCAGAAGCCCTGAGCCAGGCTCACTACTGGTGAGTTCAGCGGTGGGGGCAGGACCTCTCCTACCTCCACAGAACTAAGGATGTCTGAAGCCCCTACGCTGTCAGTTGGACATCCCCTGTGGGCTCCCGGACTGTGAGGCTGCAGGCTGGCCTGAGGGACCCCCACTCCCTGAGTACACGAATTTCGTGCACTGGGCTTCTAGTTTTATATTATAAATGCTCAATATAGAATATGTTTTTATTTATTTATTTATTTATTTATTTAAAATATATTTTATTGACTTTTTTACAGAGAGGAAGAGAGAGGAATAGAAAGCTAGAAACATCGATGAGAGAGCATCATCGATCAGCTGCCTCTTGCACACCCCCTACTGGGGATGTGCTAGCAACCAAGGTACATGTCCTCAGCTGCCTCTTGCACACCCACTACTGGGGATGTGCCAGCAACCAAGGTACATGTCCTTGACCGGAATCGAATCTGGGACCTTTCAGTCCACAGGCTGACGCTCTAACCACTGAGGCAAACCGGTTTTGGCAAAATATGTTTAAATTTAAATCATTCTATATTTTCCACATGATCACTATAAAAAAAAATAGGAAGGTTAATATAAATAAAGATTTTGCTTACACTATTTGTAGCAGCAAATTCCCTTTGCCCAACTCGAATTTCAGGAACAAACTTCTGTAATAAAGCTTTTTGTACTTTCCAAATAGCTGGCGGTTCTTTTCCTGTTTTTAAAGCCTCCTATAAAAAGCAGCATTAAATACATTTACAAACACCAGCAACATATTCTAGATTTATAGAATCTTAGCGCTAAAAGGAATATTAAAAACCTATCTAGCTCAAATTTTATCTTTTACCTCACTGAACTTTTTAGTATAAGCTGGCTATTCAGTCTCTGCTTAAATTCTTCCAGATATAGGAAGCACACCAACATGCAAAGTAGCCCATTACTCTTTTGTATAGTTATTGGAAATTTTTCGATAATATTTTCATGTATTACTTATGCAATTTTATAACAATAGATACATATTCAAAAAGACAATTAACAAATATGCTGAAATATTAACAGCAGTTAATTGTGAATGGAGATCATTTGAATTTTGTACTCGATGTACTTTTTAATGCTATTTCTTTCCACTCCAATTAAAAAAAAACAAAACGTAAGTTTTCTTAAACATAAGTAAAATTTTCTTTTGTAAAATTGTAAAGTTCTACTCATGGTTCTATAATTTGAAATTATAAAAATAAGTCGTCTACTTTTAAATGATATTCCTATTATTTTATTTAAACTTAAAATTAGATAACCATTTTCTCAACCTTCTAATAGTATGCAACTTGTTGAGAGCCTTGAAAAAAAAAATTAACATTTCAAAACTGCTCTAATCACTAGTACATAAATGCAACATATTAACTAGTCAGAAATACATAAGACTCAGATATAAGTTAAAATTATTTTGTTATTTTCCTTTATACAATATCTGGTATATACTAGTGATTTTATTAATGAACAATTATAAAGAATAATTGTGAAAATATAACTTTAAGCTTTTCAAGCTAGGTGCATACTATTGAAGTCATCATGAAGGCTATCATAGTACATTCCCACTAAACTAAACAGTCTTTATACTTGTGAACATTTACATCACCTTAAAAGTCTCTATGTCTTCTATCTTTACCACAAACTCATCACGTTCTCTGTATTGGCCTTCTCCTCCACTTTCTGTGTTCTCATCATCTGTAAAACCTTCTATGGCAATAGTGTCTTGTCCTTTTGCAAATTGATTTGAAGGAAGACCATCAAGTTCAATGGGCTTTGAGAGTTCAGTAGAGCCTTTATTTTCCAGGATATTTACTGCAGATGAAGTAGAGTAGAGAGGTTCTTGCTTAATTGTACCCACAGAGGTGGAGGAAGTAGTAGCAGTACCAGTAGTATTGGCAGTTAGGCTAGTAGTTACCACCTGTAGGGCTTCTGAAACTAGATCAAGCAAATACAAATCAATAATACAAATAATTAAACCTAACAGTTTAAAAAGAAACAATTATTTTTGCCATTAATTATTTGAATCGCCTGGCCTGTGTGGCTCAGTGATTGAGCATCGACCTATGAACCAGAAAATCAAGGTTCGATTCCAGGTGGGGGCACATTTCTGGATTGTGAGCTCAATCCCCAGTAGGGGGCATGCATGAGGCAGTTGATCAATTATTCTCTCATCATTGATGTTTCCATCTCTCCCTCTCCCTTCCTTTCTGAAATCAATAAAAAAATATATTTAAAAAATTACTTGAAACAATCAAAAACTGCAGTAAGAAATTAAAGAATGGTTGTTAATTTTCAGTAAACAAAGTGGTGAGTATTACAGACTGAGAATCTCCACTGACCTACAATGAAGTCCACTTAATAACATAAAGATATTTTAAGTTAAGTAAAGGTCAGCTGACCAAAGCTGTGAAATATTCCTAGAACAGCCAATTATATGTAGGAAAGTAAAACAACAACCCCAAAAGATTCTGAATCAGCACTAGAAGCTATAAAATAAAAAGAATTAAAATGTAATAATATGAAATTGACACATTTCCTAGAAAGATACAAACTACCAAAATAGACTCAAGAAAAAACTGACCATCTGGATAGACCAGTGATTTTCAACTGCTATGCCATAATAATTTTGAAAACACACCGTATTTAGTCAGGGGCATTGACCTCTTTTACCTTAGATTATCAAATTTAAAAATGACAACAGCTGCCCTAGCCAGTGTTACTCAGCGGGTTGAGCTTCACTTCATGCACTAAGAGGTCACCAGTTTGACTTCTCATTAGGGCACATGCCTACATTGTGGACTTGATCCCCAAAAGGGGGTATGCAGGAGGTAGCCAATCAATGTTGATGTTTTCCACTCTCTCCCTCTCCCTTCCTCTCTCTCTCTCAAATTAATAAAAATGTTTTTTAAAATGACAATAGCCATCGGTATGAATGAATCAAAATTATACCTTTTTTTTTGTCAGATCAACAAGAAATATACTTTTTGTCATGCCGCAGAATTTTAGTAATTGGTTATGTGTGCCATGAGGTGAAAAAGGTTGAAAATTGCTGGAATAGACCAATAACAAATAAAGAGAATAAAATAAATTGTAAAACACCCTAAAAAGAGCTTTGGCAGGTTTGGCTCAGTGGGTAGAGCATTGTCCTATAGACAGAAGGGTCCCAGTCAAGGGTATGTACCTTGTTTTCAGGCACATCCCCAGTAAGGGGGTGTGCAGGAGGCAGCTGATAGATGTTTCTCTCTCATCTGATGTTTCTACCTCTCTATCCCTCCCCCCTTCCTCTCTGTAAAAAAAATCAATAAAATATATATTTTTAAAAATACCCTACAAAGATAAAGATAAGCACATGCCTAAATGGTTTCACCCAACAGTTTAATTAAGAATATTAATCCCTGCTAAACTCCAAAAAATAGGAGGCAGTACTTCCAGACTCATTTTATGAGACTGGTATTATTCTAATACCTAAACCAGACAAAAATACCATGAAAAAAAATCCCAAAACTATAGATCAGTATTCCTCATGAAAAATACCCCAAAAAAACTATGAGAAAATCTAACAATATAAAAAAGAATGACCTAAGTGTTTTATCCTAGGAATGCATGCTTAGTTTAACATCTGAAAATCAATCAACCATCATATTAATATAATAAAGTACAATAACCAAGGATCATCTCAATGAACACAGAAAAAACTTTTGGCAAAATTCAATATCGTGAATAAACACTTTAATGATACAAATACTCACAACCTAAAAATAGAAGGGACCGTCTTCAACTTAATAATGGGCATCTATCTATTAATATAAAAAACCCAGTTGCCCTAGCTGGTTTGACTCAGTGGATAGAGCATCGGCCTGTGGATTGAAAGGTCCTGGGTTCGATTCTGGTCAAGGACACATGCCGACGTTGCGGGTTTGATTCTGAGTAGGGCGCATGCAGAAGGCAGCCAATCAATGATTCTCTCTCATCATCGATGTTTCTATCTCTCTCCCTCCCCCTTCCTCTCTGAAATCAATAAAAGTATTTCTTTAAAAAACAGTTAACATCATGCTTATTGGTAAATGAATAATTCTGACTTTCAGTCTTATTATTTAAGACTGGCTGGTATGGCTAAGTTGGTTGATTACATAAATTGGTTTCTTTAGTATATGAAGTTTTAAAACAAGCCAAAACAAAAGTAGAGTGTTTAGGGATGCATACACAGGTGGTAAAATGATAGAAGAAAAGCAAGGAAGTAATTACCATCCAACTCAGTGGTTATTTCTAGAGGTTATGAGTTGGGTTTAATTTAATACTCTATTTTTGTACTTCCTTATGTATAGAATTTAACATCATAAGTTTTCTTCTTTGTTCCACATTCTTGGTACATCCCATTGGTTTTAAAATACTATGCTCCATAGTCCTTTCTAAGTGGTTTGTCACTTCAGTTCTGGTTAATCCTTTTAGAAGTTGTATCAAGTTATTTAGTAGTTTTTAAATAAAAACTTATTTTTATTTCTTTTATCTTTCTTTTTTTCTTTCTGCCTGGCCGCTGTGGTTCAGCTGCTTGATACATAAATTGGTTTAATTATGCCAATCATTGTATTTTTGTTTATGTTTTAAAATTTCCGTAATTAAAAGTTAAGCAAATATTTTTAAAAGATTATATAAATTCCAAATTAGTTGAGGGAAAAATATACAATACTGTATACAATAAAATTACTGCACATGGTCAGGAAATATGGCTTAAATAATGTCTGCATTTTTAAATTTATGGAAATTTTTATTTGTGTTTTCCCTTTTTGTGTTATAGTCCATATGTGAGTTTTATTTCATAAGAAAAGTGTTCTGAAAGAAAGAAAACAGAGATATGGAAAAGTACACTAAATATGCTACCAATAACAATAAAATTAGTATGGCAATATTAACCCTTTGCACTCCGAACCATTCTGGACATTGGCTACCAGCTACTCGACGCTACTTTGCGAAACGTGCGTTGAATTAACTCAATTCCCCGTAATCACTAATAAACTGCAATGTCCCCTGAGAGGGGACATCCGAGTGATATGTTAGAATTCCGATGTCCCCTGAGAGGGGACAGCAGAGTGCAAAGGGTTAAAAACAGAAATGGGAAATTAAATGGGGAGAAGAGATATTTTATTATGATAAAATAAATTTAATTATAGTAAAATTGTATGCACTTGATTACATAGGTTCAAAACATATCAAGTCAACAGTATTAGATAAATAATTATTGTCACTGAAAACTTTAACACACCTTTTTCAGGAATCAACAGATCAAGCAATCTAAAAACAAATAAGGATAGGGAAGATTTAAAAAAAAATTTTATTATCAAACATTTCGAACATACACAAAAGTAGAAAATACAAACCCTTATGGTGGTAACCACCATGAACATTTTGGTATATTTCTTTCATCTACCCATTCATCACACATTTAATATGTGCTGGGATACTTTAAGGTAAGTTCTAGACCAACATATACACTTTCTTATAGAACCTAATATCATTTATTACATTAAGTGAAAAAATAGATATAAAGGATTTAATGAAACCTATTACCACTTGTTACTCATGGAATTTATAAAAACTGACCATTTCCTAGCTACTAATAAAATTTCCATACATTTAAAGATGCAGACATTATTTAAGCCATATTTCCTTGATGACAATACAACAGGGCCACAAATTAGTAACAAAAGAATACCACTAACAACAACAAACACCAAAACCTACTATGAAATGGGCAAAAACAAACAAACCAATACTATTTTTAATAACTTTCGGGTTAAAAAGGAAATCATTAAAACTATAATGACAAACCATCTAGAAGGGACAGGGAGAGCACTACAAATTGAAACCAGAGGGATACAGTCAGCGTTGTGCAAAGAAGAAAACTAACGCTTAATGCCAATAATAGAGAGTGAGCAAATACAAACATGAAGTAAATATTATACACAAGAAGCCAAAGAGAAAATATTAAATTGAACCTAGAGAATGTAGGGGAAAAGAACTGATAAAAGCAAAAATTAAGAAAAAGTGAGTAAAAATGGTAACAGAATAAAAAAAGTTCTTAGGTTTCTTGAAAAGACTGGTTAAATAGGTAAACTTTTCACAGATCGATTAACAAAAAGATTCAAATAATCATTTGGAGCAAAAAAGAACATAATTACAGAAACAGAGGAGAATAAAAACTTATGAGGGAAGACCTGGCTAGTTGCTCAGTAGGTTAGAACTTTGTCCTAATACACCAAGGTTGTGGGTTTGAGCCCCAGTCTGAGCTCATATAAGAAGCAATCAATGAATGCATAAAAAAGTGGAACAACAAATCAATGTTTCTCTCTCTAAAAATCAATAAATAAGAATTTTTTAAAAATCGGTGAGGGCCCAGCATGATTCAATGGTTGAGCACTGATCTAAGAACAAGGAGGTCACAGTTTGATTCCCGGTGAGGGCACATGCCCAGGTTGCAGGCTTGATCCCTTTGTGGGGTGTGTAGGGGGCAGCCAATCAATAATTCTTTCATTATTGATGTTTCAGTCTTTCTTTCACTCTTCCTTTCCGCTCTTAAATCAATAAAAAAATATTTTTTAAATGTATAAGAGAATACTATGTACAACTTTATAACAAACTTTAAAATTAAGCAAAATGGATGATTTTACCAGAAAATATACCGTTCTTAAATTGACCCAGAGAGATTAAACTACCTTAGGAAAATGCAAAGTCCCAGATATATTCTTAGAAGGTTTAACCAAATCCTTATATGTGGTAAACTTCAAAATATTCCTGAATACAAACAAGAAGAAGACAAAAGAAAACCAGGAAAAGCTAATCTCATTTATGAATCTAGGCCTAAAATCTATAATAATAAAAGCATAATATGCTAATAAGACCGGACAAAGCCAGGGCTGTGAGGGAAACCCAGCTCCTGGGTGTGTGCAGGCAGCTGGAGGGAAGCTAGGGTCCCGTACCTGCCAATGGCCAGAGAGAAGCCCAGGTCCTGGGTGCCTAAGGGGAAGCTGGTGCTGGGCAGCCGGGGAAAGGAAGGCCTATTCTTGCAAGAATTTCATGCACCAGGCCTCTAGTTACCAAATAAAATGCTAGCAACTTAAATCTTACAATGGGTTAAAGAATTTCATCATGACCAAGTAGAGTAAATGGTAAAATTAAAAAAAAAAAAAGGGGGGGGGGGTTAGCATTAAGAAATCAACTGAGCCCTAGCCAGTTTATCTCAGTGGATAGTGTTGGACTATTGACTGAAGGATCCTGGGTCCCAATCCAGTCAAGGGCACACACCTCAGTTGCAGACTCTATCCCCAGCCCTTGGTCTGGGTGTGTGTGGGAGGCAACCAATCCATGTGTCTCTTTCACATCAATGTTTCTCTCTGTCTATGCCCCTCCCTTCCATTCTCTAAAAATCAATGAAAATATCCTTGAGTGAGAATTAACAACAACAACGAAAAAAAGAAATAAAACTGAATTCATAGTTAAAAACTTTCTGATGAAGAAAAACTCCAGATCTAGATGGCTTTACTAGCAAATTCAGCCCAACATTTGTGGAAGAAATAATACTACCAAATCTTTTACAGAAAATACAAGAGAAGTGAACACTACCCAATTCACTTATGAAGTCAGCAATAACCAGATACCAAATCCAAACAAAGGTATTACAAAAAGGAAACTATATACGAATATCAATTACAAACACAGATGCAAAAAAAATTAGAAAGTTGAATCCATTAATGTATAAAAAAAGGTAAAATTCAGTGGGATTTATCCTGGGAATGCAAGGCCATGAATATATTTTAAAATCAATGTAACTCCCCATATTGACAGACTAAATAAGAAAACTGCATGAAGTCCTGGGCTGAGCACAGTTGTTTAGAGCAGCAGTTGCCAACCTTTCGAACCTCACGGACCACCAGTGATCCGAGGACTACCTGTTGGTGATCGCTGGTTTAGAGGATGGTCCTAATACTCCAAGGTTGCAGGTTTGATTGCTGTTCAGCCAATGAATGCATATATAAGTGAAACAATAGAAGTTTCTAAAATCTTTCAATAAAATCAATAAAATCTTCTAAAATTAATCAATAGAAGTTTTTTTTTTTAAAGAATTTTAAAACAAGAAAACTGCACGAACATTTTAACAGATGAAAAAGTATTTGACAAAATTCAACCTTCATTCATTGTAAAAACTGTCAGCAATCGAAGAAATGTATGGAACTTCTTTAATGTGATAAAAGACATCTACAAAAAACATAAGGTTAACATCATACTTAATGGCGAGATTGAGTCCTTTCTGCCAAAGATTAAAAACATGATCAAGATGTCCAACTCACCATTCTCATTAAGCATTGTATAAGAAATCCTAGCATGTATGTTAAGACAGAGATAAAAAGGACATAAGATTGGAAAAGGAAAAATAAATTCTCTCTATTTGCAGATGCCATCATTTTCTACATAGAAAGTCCTATGGAATAAAAAAATCCCAGAATAAATGAGTTGTGCATATTCACAGGATTTCAAATCTATAATAATAAAAGCATAATATGCAAATCAACAGAATTACCAAATAGCAGAACTACCATCCAGACGACCAGGTTATGACATGCACCAGTGCCAGGCCAGCCAAGGAGGGTGCAATGCGATTGGTCGGGCCCTGCCATCACCCCATAATCCCACAGAGGGAGTCCAAGACCACTGGCCAGCAACACTGTGGTGGGTGTGTGGGGTCAACCAACTATCACCCCGCAGAGGGAGACCCAGGCCAGCCAAGCAATTGCACCCCACGCCTGTCACTCGCAGAGGGAGGTGATCAGTGGCTGGGTTGGGGGTTGGGGAGAAGACTGCTGCACAGATGGCAAGCAATGACAGCAGTGGGAGCGGGACCAGCTGGGGGTAGCCAGGGGAAGATAAGCCCCAATAGGCCTGATCGCCAGCCAGAACTAGGGACCCTCCCTGAGGAGTCCCAGATTGTGAAAGGGTGCAGGCCAGGCTGAAGGACACACACACACCGTGCACGAATTTCATGCACCAGGCCTCTAGTTAACATATAGAAAGCAACTGTATTTTTATGATCTATCAAGAATAATTGAAATTTGAAAATTTTTCAAAGTATTGTTTATAATAAATAGCACCCCAAAAAACATCCACAATAAATTTAACAAAGCATGTACAGGATCTATATGCCAAAAACTATAAAAATTTATGTGGAAAAGGAAAGGAAATAAAATAGTCAAAACAATTTTGTAAAAGGCAAGTTTGGAGGACTCACACTGCCTTACAATAAAGCTACAACAATTAAAATAGTGTAATATTGGTGAAACCATAAATACATAGGTAAATATAACAGAACTGAGTCTAGAAATAGATTCATATAAATATGACCAATTGATTTTGACAAAGGTGCAAAAACAATCAGTGGAGAAAGGATTGTCTTTCCAACAAATGAAACTGGAAACACTAGACTTCTATATGTAAAAAACAAACAAACAAACAAACAAACAAACAAATAAATAAATAAATAAAATAACTTCAACCCATATTTCATATCTTACACAAAAATATAATCAAAAGGCATCATAGTCCTAAATGTCAAATGCAAAACTTTCAAACTTCTAGAAGAAAACAGGAGAAAATTTTTGTAACCATGGGCCAGGCAAAAAGCATAAATCATAAAGGAAAAAGTGGACTTATTAGACCTCATCACAATTTAAAATGCCTGCCCTTCAGAATTATTTAAGGGCTGTGGGAATTTAGAAGACAGGAGCATTTATTCTGCCTGCAGTAACTTCTACATGTGACTTTGAGAATGGTCTTCAAAGATAACTTGAGTGTCTGCTGGGTTAAAAATGGAGAGGAGGTAGAAGACTCACAGGGCTAAGGAACAAAGAAAAGTTCAGTGCTCACAGAAGAGGGAACATGGAAAGAGTAGGGCAAGAGAGTAATATATGGAAAAGGAGAATTTTTACATGTTATTTGTCTGTCTTCCCATTAAGCACCAAGTAAGAATTCTTTAGAAATATACTACCAGATGGCTATGCGAATAGATTATTTGGGATAACATTTGTTTCATGCCACTTTTGTAGTCAAGGGTAGTCTCAAGTCTGGAAAGAAGCTAAGACCACCACCACAAAACAAGGTTTAACGCTTGAAGCACCATTGTTTATACAAAAGAGCTAGGCTCTAGAACTAGGCAAACTTGAGTTCAGATTCCAACTCTGCCACTGACTAGCTGCATGAACTCTGTTTATTTACTCTGTTATATTCATTTGCTCTGTTATATTATCAGTATATTGGAAGTAACAATGCATATCTCCCACCATTGCTACTAGATTCCTGGCACAGAGATCGGAGCTATTTTACTATTTTAAATATTTTTTCCTTAGTATATTTTTTAAAATAGTAGTTTTTATACTCATCAATTATTTACATAAGATAGTGTTTTTTAAAACAGTTCTTCTAAATGTTCCCTTAAAGTGATTCGAACATAGTCTGGAGCCAGCTGAAAATTTTATCTTATATTAATTGTACATGTTGCATATAATATAACCATATTTAATAGTAAAATGTTAATCTTCAGGTAAAATTGGCATACCAAAAAACAATGCCAGTTTATACTACAACAGGGCCCTCAATACAACGCCTCATATTCATAAGCCCACCTCAATGTATCTCAGATTAGACAATTCTGGATAGCATACCGTGTAAGTTAAGTTGCATGTGGTAAAAAGTCAAGGAAAAACAAAACTATTCCATCAGAAATCTAGACATTCCTACAGTCAAGGAACACTGGGAAAAAAATTAAGGTACCTACCTGTGCATTTTGTCCTGAAAATTAATTTGCAGACCTACTTCAAGCGCAAAAAGCTTCCAAGTCAGTCTTACAGCCAGAAAAATAATAGTGTAAAGCCATAATTATGAAATCTAAATTTTAAAACTTTACCTGTTTCCTTTTTTTTATCAGAAGTAGCATCCAAAGTACTTAAGGTAGTAGAGGTGCTTTTACAAATGTCATTATTGCATGCTCCAGAATCATCTTCATCAGATGAGAATGAAGGTAAATGTTCTAAGTTTTTAAGTTCGTTATCAGCTTTTTCTGATGGACTGTTACCCCCCGTTTCAGACACTGAAGGTGCGGGGATTGTAGATGAAGTCTTTGGAAATGGGGGGGGACAAAATGCACGGACAATCTGGGTTCCTGGTCGTCTAGTCCTGTTAGGCATTCGTACAGCAAGAGTGGAAAACTGCTGCTTGGGCCCAGATTTCAAAAAATCTAAGAAAGAGGCAATAAATCCCGTTTTGACTTCTGGCTGTTTTTCCTCTACTTCTTTGATCTTCTGTCTCATTTTTTCTTGATGCTGATAAACATCATGGCAGCCTTCTGAGGGAGGAGGAGTATACGGCAAATATATATCTGTTCCCTTTGAATTTTGGCGTTTGCTTTGGACGGGTCTTTTCAGCTGTTTCGGATTACTGTTCTCTTCCTCTTTAGTTTGCCCTTTGCCTTTAGTTTTTTTCTTCTGAAGGTTAAGATGCATTAAATCTTGGTTTTCCTCCTCAATCTTGACACTTAATGCCTCCCCAGGTTGGGCCATGGCCAACAGTGCAAGTGCACTCCTTGTCAGGTTCACTGACACACCACCGTCATCACCCCCTACGGTGAATTCACTCTCTGATGTAGCACTCTCTCCACTTATACTTCTGCTACTGGAAACGAACTCTTGGTTTCTGTTATTATTTAATGAACTATCTACAGGAACTTCACAATCGTCTTCAAAGTCATGATTGGTAGCAGGCTGTTTCTTGAATGGGCCAGACCTTTGCTCCTGGACTTCATGGCTTGGTCCAGTCACTGGTGAAGTTAGTTTAGATGCTTTATTTTGACCTGGTGTTTCAATGTGCTGTTGATCAAGAGTCATTTTTGACTGAAGGATAGGTACTGGTGAAAGGTTTACTGTAACTTGACTTCCATTTAAGGAAATATCATTTATATTCTGTGGCTTTCCTACTGTAGCTGTTATAGAGTTAAAATCTGAACTTACATGCCCGACATCTAATGACTGCTGAAAATGAGATTTAGAATCACCATCTTCAACAGTTGGAATGGTTTCATTTGAAGTTGACTTGGAAAAATCAGAAGGTGTAACCCCACAAGCTGCTGCTGTAGCTGCTAAGATATCATCCACATTTGATAAAATATTTCTTTCATCATTGAGAAGAATTGCCTCTGGGAAACATATTGATCCAAGGGAGACAAAATGATTCTTTGAATCATGTTGATTTGTTTCACTAAAATGGCCCTTTGTTGTTAGATGTTGTTGTAAAGGTTTTGAAGACTCAGAGAGGTCCATTTTCATAATTTCAGAATTTTGGGTATGGAGTTGCTGCTGAGAATGGTCACCATTGCTCTGAATAATATGACTATCCATTTGAAGAAAAGGATGCACTATTTGTTGAGGACTTGGAACATGATGTAAAGACGCCTTTACCTGTCCTAAACCTGCCTGCAGCATCGACTGCTGGAGAATTTGTAAGTCACAGGGAGAATCTAAAAGGATCTGTGTATTAGAAAGAGATGCCTGATGGCCCTGCCCTAAAGTATGATTTGGAATTTGAATCTGAGATGATGCATTAATTATTTGATCATGCTGCTCCTGGACTTTGACATCATGTACCTTATGTATTAGAGAATGCTGCTGAGAGACCTGCTGGTTTAGGTCTTTAGTATTCAATGTTATTTGTGGAGTTTGCATTAAATCAGTTGCCTTCTTAATATCAAGGGTTGCGGCACTACTGACTTGGCCAATTTGTTGGTTAAGTTGTGCCACTGAACCAACCATACTTTCTTCTTTTTTTGAACTTTGTAAAGCAATCCCAACAATGTGATCTTCAAGATGGGAATTACTTCTGATTACACTCTGAGAGTATGTGTCGTCTGCCTTTGATACCTTATAAGTTGATTCTTGAACATTAATTTCCCCATCAGATAGCCTTTGGGTTGATGACTCAAGAGATACTTGTGGCTGTAATACTTGTAATTCTTGCATCGGAAAATCTTCTTTTTGCTTTGAAGATGTATACACATTTGAGTCAAGTTTCCTTTCAGCATAAGACTTTGGATCAGGGGAAGGTATGCTATTTTGTAATGTCTGACAATGAGTAGAGGACGTAAAAGATGATGACTGGATGGGAGGCAAAAACTTTTGGGATTGGGGAGATGATGACCCTTGAGCTTGAGCATTTTGGGAAGAGTGCATAGAAATAAAATTCTGGGTTGTGCTAGATTCTGGCAAACACTGAGCCTGAGAGGCGGAAGAATAAGAAAGAGAAGGAGCTGTTAATGTTAGGGACTGCCCTGACGCATAGCTTTCTGAAGGACTAACAACGGACAAACCTTGTGATTGAGATGAATAATTAACCTGTGTCTGGTTAGCTGGTGATAAACCCTGAGAATGACCAGATGAGTAACTCTGAGACTGGCTAACTGAAGATAGATCTCTTGTTTGAGCAGGGTAATTCTCATTTGTAACTGAGGGTAACACCTCTTGCGGATTAGAATAATTAAGTGTCTGATTTTCGGAAGTTACAGTCTGAGATGAACCAGAATAAGTCAATGTTTTATATAAGGATGGCAACTTTTCAACTTTGCTGGATTTATAAACCTGTGAATGAACAATAGATGGCACATTATGTGGTTGTACTAAACCATAATTTTGGGACTGACTAACTGACAAAAGGCTTGGTAGTTGTGCTGTAGAATAAATTTGTGCTTGGCCTGATATTACAGAACTCTGGTTATGCAAAGGTTTGGAATAGCTTAGTGTTTGCACAGGAGGAATTATACTTTGAGGTTTGGGGTTCTTAGTTGATGTGAGTGGTTGCTTTGCAGAACAGCTCTTCACTAATATAGTGGAGGGAGGATATCCTGATGATGGAATTACAGATGAGTAAGATTGAGCAAGTTCCACTGATACCTGGGAGGTCTTCTGCTGCAGTCCTCCATTGCTCACCTGAGTGGACTCTCCAATTGGGCTACAGGACAAAGATGACTGCCTGCTTGTTTCCTGAAAATTAACTGCATTTGCATTTGATAGATAACTATGTAAGGAATGCTGTGAACCAGTCAGTTGTGCCTGAATAGACTGGGTACTTGAAGGCCGCTGATGGTGTTTAATAACACTACATTCTCGAAGAGCTCTTTCAATGGAAGCAGTAGAATTAGTAAACAGAGTTGAACTGTAGGCTTGAGGCATTTGCTGGGTTCCCCCAAGTGCTGAAGGCAACAAACTGAACTGAGGTTGTAAGAGATGGGGTGCAGACTCTTGAGCTGAGCGATACGTTGAGGACTGAGGTGGTACGCTATTACATAACACAGAACTGCCCAGGCGCTCAAATGTCAAAGCAGTTGGAACAGTTCCCTGGGAAGTTTTGATTTGTAGCAAAGGGTCATGAGGATTTAGAATTCCATTTGATGTAGTGTTAAAACTTGAATCCTGAAGCACCAAAGGTGAGGTGGTAGCAAAGTTTCTATTGTTGAAGGTGGTGGGATGCTGATAAGCAGAGAGGGCAGAAGGCGAAAGTGTTCCAGTGGTTGGCAAAGGTCCAGTAACGAACAGCTCAGTTGCTGCTGAGGAATGCATACCTATAGAGAGAATATGCAAAGATATTTATGCAATTACTACAAAAATGCAACTATATTTATGTTTTCATAGTAGATACATACATAACATTTGCTCACTATAAAGCATGTAAACAATACAAGGATATATAAAATGGAAAGTGATAGTTTCTAACAACAGTTCTACTTTTTAGAGAAGATTCTGAAAATGACATTTTCAAATAGCTAGCTTTCTTAAAGCAAAACAAAATTAGTTATCAGCAACTCATACCTATAATTGTTATATAAATATGACTATAAATAGTTAGACAAGGCCAATTAAGAAACCAGTAGCCCTAGCTGGTTTGGCTCAGTGGATAGAGCACCGGCCTCCGGACTGAAGGGTCCCAGGTTCGAGTCTAGTCAAGGGCACATTCTCGGGTTGCAGCTCCATCCCCAGTTGGGGAGCATGCAGGAGGCAGCCAATCAATGATTCTCTCTCATCATTGATTTTTCTACCTCTCTATCCCTCTCCCTTCCTCTCTAAAATCAATAAAAAATATACTTAAAAAAATATTTGCAACATAGCAAATATAGTGAATATTGTAATAACTATGTATGATGCCAGGTGAGCACTAGAATTATTAAAGTAATTACTTTGCAAATTATATAAATGTCTCATCACATGTTGTATACTCTTGAAATTAATATACAATAATATTGAATGTCAACTGTAATTGGGAAAATAAGTAAATTTTGCTCTTACAAAAAAAGTTATATGTGGATTCTCAACTATGCAGGGGGTCAACATAACCCTAACATCCATTGTTCAAGGGTCAGCTGTACTTAAGTTGCCAGATAAAAACTTTATTTCTAGAGCTTATCTTTAATAATTATCTTCTTTCTTCAACTTGTTGGTTTTTATCAGAGTGCTAAAACCGAATTTCTGCTAGTAAAATTTATTGAGTTTTGTCCACCTTAAAATTGTGAAAAATTCCAGGTTTTAAAGTTCACTGGAAAATCAATAATTAACTTCACTCTCGGCCACACTACCATAATGACAAGGTCCATACAAAGTATATTTTTACAAGACTTAAAAATTCTGAAAACAAAGAATCACCTGTCTGCCAGGATGGAGCCCTGAATTGTGGTAAAGAAGTTCCTGAAGAAGCAGCCTGAGCTGTTTGAGATTCAACAGAAGAGAGAAAGTTCATTACTGGAGATTCCTTAGTGTTAGTGCTGGCACTGTTCACACCAGTATCAAATATTCCAGAAAGACCTACATTTGAAGATAAAATATATCCCAAAGTAAAGATATTATTAATTTAAAATTATAATTCTGATCATATTTTAAAAAGGACTCTCTGAAATTTGAGGTCAAAAGTTCTACAATCCTAAACTGTTTTATTTTGAAATAGAAACAAATATTAATTTGACTATGCATAGTTATAATTTAAAATCTATAAAGATGCATGAAAAAGATCTCCCAGTTAATTAGTCATGTTTATATTCCTTATCAATAAAAGGCTTTTAATATCATTTTTATTTTAAAATTTCCCATGACATTGTTATGTCCTGTGTACATATTCATAACCCAACACGTGAAAACTGATTTTTTTCCTTATTCACTAAATGTACACAGATTCATGTTATATTTCACAAGAGAATTTTTACCGGTTGGCTGAGGTGTGGTAGGATATCCAGGAAGTTGATGAGAGGCTGCAAAAGTCTGTTTCTGAAGGCGATTTGTTTCAGAGAGTGAGGGATGTCCTTCTTCAAAGCTTAAACTAGAGGATAATAAAAAGAAGTGACTAAAAACACAGTGCTCAAACCATATGATCAAAAAATTTCTAAAAGAACAATTGTCAAGGTAGCAGAAGTCTTTGACTATAATAAACTCCTGATCTATAGACCAATAGATCAAGCACAGTCTGACAATAATGTCAAAATGGGGAAAGCACATTGAAAATATACAAGGGAGAAAAATGCACGTAATATTTTCTTTACCTTAACTTTTACCTCCTACAAAGTCCTTTTACTGAGAGAGGTAAAATGTGGTACAGCGGGAAGAGCAATATCCCAGAAACAGGACAGCGGAATTCATTGTCCAAGCTCTACAACTGGCTTCCAGTGTGACTTCCACAAGTGATTCAATTACTGTCAGACTAACCTCCTCATCTGCATGACTAAGGGATTAGACAAGATAACTTCCAAGGTCACTCTAATTTTATATAAAAATCCTATATAATATCAGATCATTAAAATAAATTGATCATTAATATTATTTCCAAAAAGTTTGAAATTATATTTTGAGTCATTCAGAAAAAAATATTTTCTTCCCTTGATTTTTATTTTTAATATTTTAACCCAGAGAAAAAACTAAAATAGTGTAATGAATAACCTACACACCTGTCACCTAAGATTCAATAATTGTTAACATTTTATTATATATATATATATCCCAGTGCATGAAAATTCGTGCACTGGAGGGGGTCTCTCAGCCCAGGCTGCCCCCTCTCACAGTCCAGGAGCCCCCAGGCGGGAGGTGACCTGGCAATCAGGGGAAGGTGATGCCCCCATCACACCTCTACTGCTGGCAGTGCAAACTTCAGCCAGTCCTGGTTACCTGAGCCTCAGGTGGACCTGGGAGGCTGGGCAGCCACCATCCTAGGATTGCCTGCACCTCAGGCAGGCCCTAGGCGGCTGGGGGATTGAGGGGACTGGGTGCTGCCATTTGGTTGCTGTGGGTGCCACCATCTTTGAGGGCATGGTAGTAAATTAGTGTATTCACTTCTTATTGGCTGTTGGCGCTGCCATCTTTGCAACAGTGTGAGGGTCAATTAGCATATTCCCTCTTTATTAGATTGGAGATATATATATATATATATATATATATATATATATATAGATTTTACTTTTTAATTTAGCCACTTGAAAATAACTTGCAGACATCACACTATATCCTAATTCCTTCAGTTTTATCTCCTAGGAATAGAATATTCTCCTATAAAACCAGTAGCAGACTTGAAGAACTTTAACAATAAGTCAATAATAGCATGTAATACAGAGGTCATAATTTCCCCTAATTATTAGCAAGATATTTGGAAATTTTAAAGCTTTTTCAGTGTAGGATCCAATCAAATTCAAGAATGGCATTTGGTTGTATCTCTTTAAATATAGTTTTAAAAAATACACACACACACACACACACACACACACACACACACACACACACTAGAGATCTGGTGCATGGGGTCCCTCAGCCCAGCCTGTGCCCTCTCGCAATGCCTAAGCCAACAGCCAGACATCCTTAGCTCTGCTGAGGAAGCCGGAGAGGCTCCCATCACCACTGTTGCACTCACCAGGGACAGGTCCTGCGTGTGCATCACAGCAAGCAGTCATTCTGCCGTTTGGTCGATTTACATATTAGCCTTTTATTATATAAGAAGATTTTTTATTGATATCAGAGGAAGAGAGAAACATCAATGATGAGAACCACTGACTGCCTGACTTCTGTACCCCTCCTTCAGGGGATCGAGTCTGCAACCTGGGTATTTGCCCTGACCTGGAATCAAACTCTGATCTCCTGGTTCATAGGTTGATGCTCAACCACTAAGCTAAGCTGGCCGGGCATGTCTCTTTAATTTAGAACAGTGTCTCACCCTATCCTTAATCCCAGATCCCTCTGTCTTAATTTCATGACACAGAGTACTTAAACTGTATGCTATCCCAAATTCTGGATTGGTCTGATTGCTACCTCATGAGAAGTACATCGTGATGCTTTTTAATTATTGAATAATATGAGAATACACACAATGTCAATTTATCTCATTATAGGTGATACTAAACTGAAAGGTAGTCAGATCTCTCCATCATATGCAATTTTGAGGTATTATTTTAAGGTTGTGTAAATATCTTGATCCCAAAAGCAATGATTTAGTTATCATTCACTCATGATCTTAAACTCAATTATTGGATTGAAGATTAGAAATGGTGAGTTTTTACTTATACCATTATGTCACATTTAAAAGTTAGCATTCTTCTGTAAAATAAAAATGAGCCTTTTCTGCCCAACCAGCATGGCTCAATGTTTGAGCATCAACCTATGAACCAGGAAACCAGGAGGTCACGGTTCCATTCCTGGTCAGGTTGTGGGCTTGATCCCCAGTGGGGGCACCAATGTCCTTCTTACATAATGATTCTCCAGTGGAGGCACCAATGATTCTCTCTCATCATTGATGTTCTCGTTCTCTCTCTCTCTCTCTCTCTCTCTCCCTCCCTCCCTCCCTCCCTCCCTCCCTCCCTCCCTCCCTCCTTCCCTCCCTTTCTCCCTCCCTCCCCTCCCCCTTCCTCTCTGAAGTCAATACACACACACACACACACACACACACACACACATATATATATTTTTAATGAGCCTTTTCTGGAGAGCAGCGGTTCACTGGAGAAAGCTGTCCTCTGCAGTGTGGGAGAATGACTCAGCACAGGAAACCAGGATGGTTGCCCTCCAAGCTTCAACCCCAGATCCCCCAAACCTGTCTTCTTATTAACACAGTCCCAGTCCACTCTGCCTGGGCCCAAGGGACAATGAACTCTCCATGGAGCCAGATCCCACTGACAGGTGGGGGCCTGGATCTCAAACAGGTACAACAGTGGACACTTTCAACTGTTCCAGAAGAAACCTGCTTCTGTTGCCAGAGACGGAACACACCCAGCCCTCTCTCAGAAGCAGAGTCAGAGAACAGGTTTCACAATGTGGACAGTATGGTTCATCACTGAGGAATCTGAGCCCTGCTTTTCATATATCAGGTGGAAGGAAGGCCTGCTGTGGGAAGGATACTCTCAATGGGAGGACTTCCTGGAGGGAGAAGAATCAGGAGGCTCCCACGAGTGTGCCCTCTGGCTCTTCTGAGAAAACCCGGATGGCGATCTGAGCTTTCAGCACTTGTGGAGCTGGCATGAATCAGAGAGAGGCAGCCAACCCAAGTCAGTGAGTGAGTGGTGAGCGGCAGTGAAGCGACTCGTGAGCATCACGGGTGTATTTCACAGAATTGCAGGGAGAACTTACAGCCAGGTCTTCAGGACAAATAGATTCCTGACTTCTTCCTCTTTGTAAAAGTGCTATTTTTTTTTTTTTTTAACAAGGAATTAGAAGATTTTCAGGTGTTTTTTGTTTTTGTTTTTTTAAAGAACCTTTACAAAGCCCTTGCAAAATTTCCACTGGAGTGGTATTTCTTATCCATAAGAGTGAGTACTCTCCAGACAAGGGACACTGGTCAGTTTTATTACACAGACAGAAACTGAAGCCAAGCATCACTGTTTTGATCCTGACATTGACTCAGTACCAGCAGGAAATTCTATGTCCTTATACACCTGTAGGCCTGATAGAAGGTTGCAGTGGGAGCCACTGAGTCAACACTGTCAAGGGGGCTTTCTCTCTTAGCCCTGATGGCAGCTCTAAGCAGGATTCTTGCCTTAGAACAGTTTGGTTTCCCTGAGCATAAAATCAAGATCATTTTACCATTCCTTCCTTAGAGAGGTCAATGGGGCCACCAGCTGTTGCAGAGCTGTGGGCTGCCCACTACAGAGCCATTTCCTCCTCTCTACCTGGGTGGCAGAGCCTTGACTGGGTTGCCCTCTTCTTGGGGTTATGTCCTTTTTAGGACCGTGGGCTCCACCCAGCTCTTTGCTGGGCGACTCTGCTAGAGTAGGCCATTGTGGGCGCCTCGTCTTACCTGGAGATTGGTAAGTGTTGGGTGGGTTGTGCTGATTCTGGCCAATGAAGCCTGGGAGACATCTGATGAAGGACATGAGACAGGATACCGTGAGCAAACGGGAATGGCAAAGGGAGAAAATAGAGAGAACCCGAGTCCCCAATGACATTTTTCAGCTGCTCATGTAAGTAATCTTGGATCATTTCTACTTTGGAAGCTCTTATTGTGAGAGGGAATGATTTGTCCCTGTTGCCCAGGGCCACTTGGCTGGGTTGCTGTTATTGAATCTTGCTAACAGGCAAATGAATCTCCTCTTCAGCATCTATACTTGCCTTCCTGCTTGGAGAGCACTTGGGAGAAGGTATCACCAAGAAAAGGCCCCCTCCGAGGGCAGCTCTTAAACCAGAGCCTTTCAAACCAGGACGTGAGGCAGGGTGGAGGAGAGGCACACCCCACGCCCCCACAGGAATGGGGCGCCAGGACTAAAGCCACCTCCCAAGGAGCTGAAATACACTTGACTTCCCATCTCCAACTTTGGAATTCATGGGAACTTTTCATTCTATTTCCTAACATTTTTTTCTTCACATATAACTGATATTTCTGATATGTTTCCTACTTTCTAGTTAAATGATTTAACCCCACCCCACGCCCGCTCAGCACGTTGTCCACATAAAGCACTTGTGCACAGACCCCGGCTGCATGCCACAGGTGGTCCCAGTGTGTGTGGGTAGCACATGCCAAGGTCCACACAGTGATTGTTGTAAACACAAAAGGGGAGAGAGCAGTAGAAAGCACCTTAGGGGGATGTAGCAACTTTCGCCTCCCCTGAATCCTCGACCTGGAAAGTCTGGGCAGGTGGTGGTGACAGAAGCTTAGCAAAGACCACATCCTGCTCAGGTGAGGTCTGTTTGGTGAATTCCCAGGTTGCATGAAAAGGGCCCAGGCATCACAGCTGAGAGCTCAAACTTGCCCCAGGCCATTGTTCAACAGCAGGGACAGTGTCCCTTCCACTGGGCCTCAGTAACCCTGGCTGGCTGTGGTTCAAAGCAAAAGGATGAATCACTGACCTTTTC